ATTTTAGATCATTTGTTTAAATGAAGTCAAATATAGTGTATATATTATTTGATGAATCGATTCAATTCATTAATTAGAGTAAACATTTAGAAAGTATTCACTAATGCAATGAAACTATGATACTAATGACTAACTTATATAATATATGTAGAGATTCTGTACTCATACTATAAATATATTATTTGCAGAAATATTTCTTATTTGAATTTGAAATATCAAAAAAACTCAAATTTTTCATCAAAAAAACCAAAATAGGAATGAAAATATCTTTTACTTTATAATAAAATCGATATTTTCTTCACATTTAATACTATGGGTTAAGAGAAGTATTTGCCGAAAGGGATTAAAAGGAGAATATATTTTTAATGGATATAAAAGTGATGCTATTTCCTAAAAATATTATTAATATTATTTAATAATAGAATATAGATTCCTATTATAAATACCATCATGTTTATTAATTAAGTAAGCTCGTTACACATAATTCTATAATGTTGTTCACTAACTGTGTATAACTAGTTTGAATTGAATTCAAAATTAATTTCAATTCAATAGAGCATAAATTTAAATCTTTCCATAAGACCAATCATATGAAAACTTAAAATAAAATGATTCTGATCTTATAGTGTATTAAATGAGGCAATATATAATAATTGTGTGATACTCTGTTGTCATAAATGTTCTCTAGAAATTTCATTATTTTTTATATAACCTAACTTATTTTTATTAATATCAATAAACTACTGAAATAGGCTTCTGTTGCCATAAAATGAACTTTCGCTCTCTATCTAAACACTTACAGTAAAATATTTTTATTATACTATATAAATATATCGTAAGTGATTTAGTTATCAAATGATTAAATGAATATGATATAAAATTATAGAGTTTAGACTTAATTTTAATATGGTATAATACATCGGGTAGCTTGCTCAAATCACTATAGAAAATTCTTAACCCCTATTAACCTATAGAGCAAACATTAATTGTGTGTCATTAAGGAAGTGGTAACTCGTGTTCAACTTCTACTCAACTCTTGTCTTTAAATCAATTATTTTTTGTATCATTAAAGTAGATGTGATTTATTGTTATTTAAAGACATTGGGCACTAAAATGTACTTTTGATATTCTGTGCCAATATCTAAAAAAGCAATACTAATATTGTATATAATACACTGTATAGCAATTATATTTTTTATAATATTGTATATTAGAACAATTTTATAATTATAGATATTTATTATATTTAAATATTTTAAATTAAAAACAATGGTTCTATCATTAAACCCTATATATTGTATAGTTTATATATCATGGTATATCTATAGCACTGAAATTTAGTGTCAAGGAGAAGTAATTATCCATTTGCTGCTTAAATCTATTGCTAACCTACTCTTTTGGGAAAAGTATACGTTTTTTTCGAGTTTAATTAGGTTTTAATGAATGTTTTATCATTTGGTTTTAAAATGTAATTAGAATTACAAATTTAACTTCAAACCAACCATGTTAAATGTAACAGTAATAAAAATTGATTGAAACAATTGTTTATAGCACTTATGTATTTTTCCTAATTTATGTTTTGATTAATGATTTAAATATTAGTATAATTTTAGTTATAAATAGATATATAAATATATAATTATGAAAATTTTACTATTAAATTGTGATCAGAATAATGTGATATTTTACTATCAAATTTAATTATAATTATGCATATTGTGAGTTTTCATTTGATTATTTTTACGTACATTTGGTAACTTCTAATCTCAAAACTAGTAAATTATTTTTAGCAAAATGATTAAAATTAATTTTTCTTTCTCATGTAAATCAATAAAAAGCTCTCAAATATATGAAGTGCTATAATATTCTCATTTGTCTTTAGGATACGTCCCATACCTCCCATACCTGATCTGTTTTCATAACATTATTTATATTTCATTAAAATAATCAAATTAATGAAATTAATTCCCATTCAGTGAAGTTGGACACGAATTTTTGATTGAAAGCATTGTTTTGAAATACAGACACGAATTGCTGACAACTCTTGCAGTAAATCATTAATGACTTTCTGCAAAATATTTTGATTAAATCAAAATTCATTTGAAAATACATTGCATTCCGTATACAGTAATACATTGCACTGAATTCATTTCACAGAATTGTACATTGCTACAATTCTGACACATATCAGCAATAATATAAATATTTTAGTGACACAAACAATCGATTTAAGAACTTAGTACTAATATAACAATTAATATTAATACTTACAAATAGCACCTCCTTCCATTACAAAACCTATAAAAGCAATTAAAAGTAACCATTATTAATATTCAATAAATATTAATTATTTTTTATTTTTAAAATAATTAAATTTATATTATATTATAATAAATATTATTTGTAATGATTGTGATAATGAATACCTTTCTCAATATGTGGAGAGACGACCCGAACGAATGGTGGGGCAAACGGATAGTTCTCAGGGAATGTAGCGTTTAGGAGCACATACTCTACGTTTAACTCTTGCATATCCTTATAAAACTGTTTTTAATAAATTCATTAGAATTTCCAAAGAAATTAATATTTTATATTTAGACTTTTAATACGAAAATAAAAAATATTCAATTAACTTTAGGTTAAGATTTCTTTTTGTATGTGAAAATAATTGCATAAAAGCCTATTTGAAAAACTAATTTATAAGTGATTTATGGCTAAACGAGATCATCATTTTACCGATTTTTCAACTCTTTAATTTTAATGTTAAATAAATTTGATTTTAAAATTGTCACAAATTCTAGTCATTTATTTCTTTGAGTGCAAAAATGCAGATGTTTTTGATGCTCTCGTTTCACTCATTTCTTAAGAATTTCTAAAATATTTCTCTTTTGTATACGAGTAGTAAAAATCAATACAAGAGATAGAGAGAGAAAATAGATTTTGAATATTCCGTGATTTGAGAAAATTTTACATACTTTCCAAATACTTTCAATAGTAGTTCCCTCACTAAACATAGCCTAAGAAACACACAAATATAGAACAAAACTATTAGGAAAGGCATATGTTTTTGAGCAGTCGTTTGGGTACAGCAATGAAAAAGTTCTTATAATTTGAGATAAAAATCGATAGCCTATTGAATGAGATGTCCTCAACACGAACAAGAAGTTTGTTAACTCAAAAAATATGTCACAAATATATAGGACAATTGGATATGATTTGGCAAAATGTGTTGAGAGAGGGGACAGACATGACAGAGAGGACAGACAGGACAGGGAGACAGACCTGAGAGTCGGTGTCGAACTGATAGACTTTGATATTCCACTCGTTGAGAGAGTCATTGACTAAGTCTACCGAATAGGGTGTGAATGCATTGTCGGTGTTATGTAGAGAACGGCTTAATTCGCGGTACTCTTTGAGAAGACGTCGCGATCTGATCGTACAATTGGATGGTTTGATCGATGGCTTGTTTGGCTCGGACTGACTCATTGGCTGATCACTTGTCGGAACTATTTGGTGGTTACGGGCCGTCGAGTGTCCGCTCACTAAACAGATACGAGTCGACTGTGAGCTCGAGTTGTGTGGTGTCGGAGACGACGAGTGCGATGACGGAGAGGACGAAGACGTCGACGACTTTTTTGAACGTTTACTGGAATTGTCTTTAGAGCCCACCGATCGGGAACTGGAGCCAGTCTTGAGGCGAAACAACTTTCGTATTGCCATCATTTCGATCCACAAAACCACTGGATTTGGGTTTACTTTGATTTCACTTCACAAATGACCATCAATTCGGTATTCATATGTATTCATAAGTATTAATATATGTATATATCATTCACTCTAATCTTCATCTCAAACGGCATTTCTCTTCATTTCATCAATAATTCAAAACATTTAACCGTTTATACGATTAGTAAGTCTGCAAAAGATATCGTAATTTAATTTTTTCTTTCTGTTTCGCTTTACTTAAAGCTTATATAAAAGTCAATTCATGGGATCTTATATTGAATAACTCAATCAAAATGATCGCTAAATCTATATCCCATGCTATTTGTTAATGATTTGAACAAATATCTACGAATTGAAAGTTAGTCACAAATGTTGTAAATATCATCAGTCGGTCGATTAGTTGTGAGAGTCTTAGCACAGA